GAAATATGAGGAATAAATCAGGGGATGTGTTGGTGTTGGATGTGTTGGGGGGTGCTTGTGGGAAAGGGCCTTCCTTTGCAAATTCTGTCCCCTCCCCATAAAAAATGGGTGGGGTGTGGGTGATGCTGAGGGGGCTTCTCCACAGGGTGCAACGTGGAGAACGCCTGCTACAGCCTGGGGGTGTGTGCCGAGCGCACTGCCATCCAGAAAGCCATCTCTGAGGGACACACCAGCTTCAGGGCCATGGCCATTGCCAGGTGAGGAGCTGGCAGGGAGAGGGACAGGGCAGGGGGACAGTGGGAACCCCCTCTGTGTCCCCACGGGGCAGCGTCTGTCGCTGCAGCCGCAGGTGTTTTGGGGCGGGGAGGTGGGTTGTTGTGTGGATGTTTGGAGGAATGAGGGGGGGGAAATGGGCTGGGGATCTGGATTTATTGGTGCCTGAAGGTGTTCTGCTGGTGTTCCTCTCCCCTTCTCTGACCTGAGACTGAGTCCCTGTGCCCTTCTCCTTTGGCAGTGACATGGGGGACTTCATCACACCCTGTGGCGCCTGCAGACAAGTGATGAGAGAGGTGACAGACCCCACATCCCCTGACCCCAGGCATCTTCCCCTGACCCCAGGCATCTCCCCACTGACCCAAGCATCTCTCCCCAGCCCCAGACATCTCCCCCCCTGACCTCAGGCATCACACTCTGACCCCACCATCACCCCCCAACCCCAATATCACCTTCTGACCTGAGGCATCTCCTCCCTGACCCCAGGCATCTTCCCCTGACCCCAGGCATCTCCCCACTGACCCAAGCATCTCTCCCCAGCCCCAGACATCTCCCCCCCCGACCTCAGGCATCACACACACTCTGACCCCACCATCACCCCCCAACCCCAATATCACCTTCTGACCTGAGGCATCTCCTCCCTGACCCCAGGCATCTCCTCCCTGACCCTAGACATTTCTCCTGACCCCAGGCATCTCCCCCTGACCCCAAGCATCCCCCTCCCAAAAACCCAGAGGTGCACAGAGGGGATTTGCAGCCCCCTGTCTGCATCCCCAGGGCCATCTCTTGGCTCCTGACATTGCCAGATCCACTGGGAAAGGGGCATTCCTCCCTGGCTCCCAGGAACCAGGGCCTGGTGGAAATTCATTAACTCACCCTCCCCAGGGGGTTTTATTCCTCCCAGGAATTGCCAGGTTTGTCCCTGGAACTGTCACCCTGGCTATCATAAGCCTGAAAATGGGGGTTATCCCACAAAAGCTGAGCTCCCCATGGAGCCCATCCCATGAATATCCCAGCACCATTTTGGGGTGGTTAATATTTAACAGGCTGTGGGGCTCAGGCCAGATTTGGCACGTTTGGGGACAAAACCACAGGATCTAAGCCCAAAATAACCCTTGAGGCAGGTGGGGCTGGAAAGCCACCCCAAAATACACACAACAGTGATGCTTCTAAAAAAATAATACTAATAACACAAAGGATTAATTGAGTAATTTGAGGAAGAAACAGGGGTTTTGCATCAGGCATTTCTTCCTCCTCTTCTTCTCCAGTTTGGCACGGACTGGGATGTCTACCTGACCAAAGCAGATGGCACCTACATTGTCAAGAGGCTGGAAGAGCTGCTGCCACTCTCTTTTGGCCCTGAAGACCTGAAAAAGGTGTGAGCAGCTTGGCCACCACCCACCTTTGCCCTCCAGCAGCAGGGGAGGACAGTTCTCCCCAATTTCCCCGGCGTGTAAGTGGCTTTTTTGGGGACAATGCAATGGGAAATGTGTTTGTAGTGTCCGAGGAACCTTTGCCCTCATTCATCTTCTGATTCAGTGTTGATTTCACAGATGCCAGCCCTGACTCACACCTGGGTAAATGGAGAAAGTAAATATTAGGAATTCCTTGTTATTTGGGGGAGGGAAAGTGGCCAGATGTTGCTGTAGTCCAGGGGGATGTTCACAGCTGGAGAAGGGTTTGATGCAAGGCTGAAGCTCAGGCTTGTTGGTACAGAAATCACTCCTGAATCCTGCAGAATTGTTGCTTGGGAAAATATTGAATTATTCAGCTGGAAATGAGAAGGGAAAAAGAAAATCTCCATCCACCCCAGCAGTAATTTAAGAGGTGATTTGCTGGAACTGGATCGTTATCACACCGAGCGTGTCCTTTGCTTGACTCTCTCCAGCTTGTTTTTCTCTGCTTTTTTTTTTCCATTTGTGAGGATGAAGAGGGAGAGGAGCTTTTGGGGGCTTCTGGAGGGTTTTCTGTCTCCAGAGAAATGCTGTTTGCTGCTTGTACTATGAAAAATGAACACGTTGCCTTTCCCAAGTGGTGCTGGGCTGGGAACGACCACCTCTGCCCAACTGAAATAAAAGCAATCCTGCTTTATCTCCTGCACTTCCAGCTCATGTTGAATCACAAAGGGAGGTGTCCTGGGGCTGCCCAAGCAGGCCAGGAAGGAGCTGGTTGTGTGGGCAAGACATGATCAGGTCACCATAGCAGCCATGACCAGGTGTATCTTGGTCTGTTTCCTGCTCTGTGCCCAGGGCTTGTGCCTGGGACACAACCATGACACCATGAAGTCCATGCCCAGCTGTTCCCTGGGCTGTTCCCTGCTCTGTGCCCTGGGTTGTGCCCATGCCATGCCCAGGGCTGTTCCCAGCGTTGCACAAGGCTGCACTCTGCTCCATACCCTGCTTTGCACTGAGCTGTGGCCATCCACAAGATATGCCCTGCCCTGCACTGAGCCGTGCCCAGGCTGGGCTGTCCATGCCCTCACCTCACCAAGTTGTCCCTTGCTCCAAGTCCTGCACTGCATCAGGCTGGGCACAAAACATGCCAGCTGTACCCTGCACACACCAGTTGTACCCTGCTCTGTGCCCTGCTGGGCACAAACCACGCTGTGCCAGGTGCTGGGCTGTACCCAGTCTGTGCCCTGCATCTCACTGGGCAGGCCCCTCTCCAGGCCCCTCTCCAGGCCCCATTCCACTGAAACAAAAATTTGGAGCTTCCAAACCCCCTTTGCTTTCTAACACTCCTCACCCAAGTGGGAGGCTGGGTGGAGCTGGGTAGGGATTCCCAGATGAAGACCAATCACAACAAACAAGCTGTTCTTGAGCAGGGATTCTTTACTGCAGCCCTGGGGATTCTCCACCATGAGTGCTCCCAGCAGGGAGTGAAACACCCCAACTAATACACACCAAAAACATGCATATTCAGTTCCATGTCAATGAGTTCCCAGAATTCTTGTACATAGTCACTTTCTTTCCTGGAATTGGCTATGTTTGTCATGATGCCTGCTCGAGGGTCTCCTGGGGGGGGTCTTTGTTGATTCTAGTCCTTTGTTGTCTTGGTCCTGTGTTTCCTCCTGGTTCTCTCTCTCCTCCTGGTCCTATCTCATCTCCTGGTTCTGTCTCTGCTCCTGCTCCTGTCTCTCCTCCTGGTCCTGTCTCATCTCCTGGTTCTGTCTCTCCTCCCGGTCCTATCTCATCTCTTGGTCCTGTCTCTCCTCCTGGTCCTATCTCATCTCCTGGTTCTGTCTCTGCTCCTGCTCCTGTCTCTCCTCCCGGTCCTATCTCATCTCTTGGTCCTGTCTTTCCTCCTGGTCCTGTCTCTCCTCCTGGTCCTATCTCATCTCTTGGTCCTATCTCTCTCTCTCCTCCTGCTCCTGTCTCTCCTCCTGGTCCTGTCTCTCCTCCCAGTCCTATCTCATCTCTTGGTCCTATCTCTCCTCCTGGTCCTGTCTCTCCTCCTGCTCCTGTCTCCAGCCTCCCACTGGTAGACCACCCAGGTGGGTCAGAACCAACATCAGTGCTGTCTGTAGGCACCACAGGTTCCCGGAGGACTTGATGCCATCACTCCCTGCAGGCTGTGTCTCTCCTCCTGCTCCTATCTCATCTCCTGGTCCTATCTCTCTCTCCTCCTGCTCCTGTCTCTCCTCCTGCTCCTGTCTCTCCTCCTGCTCCTGTCTCTCCTCTTGGTCCTATCTCATCTCCTGGTCCTATCTCATCTCCTGGTCCTATCTCTCTCTCCTCCTGCTCCTGTCTCTCCTCCTGCTCCTGTCTCTCCTCCTGCTCCTGTCTCCAGCCTCCCACTGGTAGACCACCCAGGTGGGTCAGAACCAACATCAGTGCTGTCTGTAGGCACCACAGGTTCCCGGAGGACTTGATGCCATCACTCCCTGCAGGCTGCCCGGCGTCATGGACTGGCACTTTCACAAAGCACATCGCTGTCAAAACAACCCTTAGGGTGGCAAACTCACTGCCTTTGTAACTCGGCTCAATTGCTATTGACTTTACTAACGAGTATCCGATGACCATCACCAGGGCCCCGCCTGGCCCCGCCCCCAGCAGC